AACGTGGGGAACGGGGGTGGAGGGTGCGGGGGAGGGGTGGCGGGAAGAAGAGAGAATTGAGGTTGTTCAGGCAGGAAGACTGGAAGGAGAGAGCCGGCCTGACCTGGGAGCGGGGCAGAGCGGGCACAGGGGAGGCTAGGGGCGAAGAAGGGGCAGCTAAGCGAGAGTCTGACGCCGGGAGGAGGGGTGGAGGTGGGGCATTGGAAGACATGAACTAAGATGCGCAACATGCCCTAACCGGTTTGGCTCAGTGGCTAGAGCCTCAGCCTGCGGACTCAAGGGTCCCAGGTTCGATTCCGGTCAAGGGCATGTACCTTAGTTGCGGGCACATCCCCAGTAGGAGGTGTGCAGGAGGCAGCTGATCGATGTTTCTCTCTCATCGATGTTTCTAACTCTCTATCCCTCTCCCTTCCTCTCTGTAAAAAATCAATAAAATATATTAAAAAAAAAAAAGATGCGCAACAGAGTGGGGTAGAGGCCAGGTCCTTAATCCATGATGGTTGCATCCTTAGGGTGACTCCTACTGGTGGGAGTGCTAGGCCTCCTGCCTCTGTTGGGCCCCTCACCATGGGTTATTCCAAACTCGCTCAGAGAGCCCCTTACCACTGCTGTCGAGGCCAAGGTGTGTAGTCGCCTCCCACATCATTCTCATTCTGGGTGCTGTATATACCAACGTGCGCCTTCTCTAACCTTTCCATAGATTTTCTGTTTCCCCCATTCAAGGCACCCCCCTTTTCCTTCTGGATCAGTTTCCCAAATATGCCCACGCAAAAGCATTTCTGAAAAATGTCTTTTGGGTGCCTGGAAACTTGATTTTTGGATCTGAAGCTTAGACACCTTCAACTTGGAAACATGAAGGCCTGGCTACCTTCTTGTGGGTGGGGGAGAGACATCACCCACAGAAATTAGAACAAAACACAAGTCCATAAATTATCTTACATATATTATACAGATATAGTTCCAGTGTCTGGTGCAGTACTTTGAGGTCACAAAGGTAGTTTATAATGAAGTAGAATAAAAATGTTTTAAATAATTGTAATGAAAAAAACTGTAATGTGACAAGTGCCAAAAGATAAGCAAATATTAAGTGAGATTGCAGTTCGTAGCACAAGATAGATTTCAGACAGGGAGAATGAGTTCCAGACAAGTGGAAATGTGAAAAAATGAGCAGAGATGAGACTGTCAGAGATACCTTTAAGGAGTAATCCAGTTTCGACTGTGAAGAAATAGGTGGGTTGAGACAGCAAATGCATGCAGGAGGGGAAAGGGGGCAAAGAGGATTTATAGCTCCCTTGCAATTCATTCCTGCTGCTGTCCTTGAAAATTCTATTTGGATGGTGGTGTTACAAATGGCTGAAGTGTCCTTGCTCTGTAATGAGATGCCCAGATGGAGGTACCCTGAGCTGAGCCTAATAAAACTTTGATAAAGAAGAGTCTGAGAAGGAGCTGGGTTTCTCGACCAGAATCGACATTCTTACAGGATGGCTGCCAAACTTCTACTTACTTTCTCTGTGGGTTGGGTTGAGGGGAGGTTTGAGCCCTTCTTCCCAGTGAGACACACAAAAGGTAATCTCTGAAGCCATGGGTATGCGGCTGCAGTGTACTCACCTGCTGGTGATGCAGCAGCCTTCCACTGTGGAGGGAGGGTGGAGCGGGTGGGGGTGAACCCTTCCACGGGGGTAGGGAAGAATAATTCCTATCCTGAGAGCCGAGAGGTCTGGAATTCATTTGTGTTGACCACCCTATGCTGTCTCAGGCTCTCCTGAAACCACTAGTATTAAAAGTATGGCCTTGTGAAAACACTAACTTTGAAGTGAGGCAGACAAATTCAAATCCAGCAATGCCGTGTCCTTGCTGTGTGTCATTAGGAAAAACCACAACCTATCTGAGCCTTAGTTTCCTCCTTTATAAAGTGGCGATAATGACATCTACCTTGCACAATCGTTGTGAACATTAACAAATACCAGTGTAAACCTCTTGACAGTAGGGCTTGTAAGCAGAAGTTATTAATAATCATTATGATGCCATTTAGAGCCTAATGAAGAGTTTTGGGAGCTCATGTTAGCTGTGGATCTGAAAGGCCTGCTCTCTTATCTCTCTCACTTTCACGGACTATAGCTAGACTTTGTTCTGGAGCAGGGAGGTTCCAAAAAGACTAAGTTTCTTGTACCCTATTTGCTTCCATAATCCAGTCACTATGGCATAGAGTGCAGGAGCAATTGAGAGCATTGTCATTCAGATGGAGTTAGGGCCAAAGCTGGCTCTTCCATTACTTAACCTTGCTCATCCTCGGTTTCCTCCTAGATAAGGCAGGGCTCCTAACAACAACTACCCCAGGACTGATAGGATTAAATGGGAGTGCCTCTGTAAAGCACTAAGCCAGGAGCTGGCAATTAGTAGCTGCTAGATAACCAAAAGAGGCCATTGTTATTATTACTTCACATGTGTATTGAGTACCTTATTTCCGATTTTCACTTTCATGTGAGTCCTTAACTTGCAGGCTGGAAAGGATGGCAGTTTGCCTGACCTGTCTGATCACCACGGATCTGCCTCCCCTGCTTCGCAACCAGTTCCCAGGAGAAGGGCTCCAGCCCGGGCAGGAGAGTTTCAAGGGTGTAGTTTATCTGTTCAATCTTAAACACCTACTTGGTGCCAAATATGTGGAGGATGGAGAAGGACACGGGAGAATTCGATTCAACATTTTAAAGTGTTTTTCCAAGATTTTTTTAAAAAATTACAAAAAATATACTTTTAGCTTTAAGAGAAATCCAACCATAATAAGGGCATAAAGTGAAAAGTAAAATTCCCCCCAAAACCTCGCCCATTCACTTGACTGACATTCTTTAAAGATACTATTCAGGGGTTGCTTGTGTGTCTAGACATTTTAACACATCTATATGCAAGTCTATCCTTTTTGTTTCAAACACAGACTGTAGTATTTTATACAGTTTTTTTAAAAATTTGTTTTTAAATGAAATATTCTGGTCACCTTTCCTTGTCAGTATATATAAGTCTGTAAGTCATGGTCACATAGTATTATAGTGAGCTCTTTTAACTAGTTCACTTCTGATAGAACTATAGGTTGATTCCAATTTTTTCAGTATTGCAAACCATACTGCAATGAGCATCACTATACAGAACATTTTTGTGCATAATATCAATAGATCTATAGGAGAATTCCTAAAAATGGCATACCAAGGCTGCACCAAGCGGGAGGGTAGGCAGCATCCTCTTCTTCCACCTCCTCAATCAATTCTGAGTACCCTCTTCCAATTTTTTTTAGTCTTCATCAATGTAGTAGCTGAAATAGCATGAGATTCAACATGGAATAGGAGAGCCCATGCCTTCAAGGAGCTCACTGTTTAGTGGAGACAAATGTGGAAACCAAGAGTTACCATGTAATAGTGTGAAAGTGTTACAATAGAGCACAGTACAACTTGTTGTGGGAATGCACAGGAAGGGGTGACTGACCAACTGCTGACATGAATTAGGGAAGCTGGGTCTTTGAGAAGTGGTCAGGTGGTGTGGAGGGGGGGCCAGGGCATTTAAATGTTGGGAGCTCAGCAGAGCTTGGTCCCATGCCTATACTTCCTCTTCCAGTTCAGGGCTCTGGAATTTAGATCTCTAACCCAAACTTCCTAGGTCCAAATCCAGATGCCCAATGTATCCCTGGCACCCCCATTTGGATGTCTCAGAGGCCCCTCAAACTCAATGTGTCCCTAATGGACCTCAAACAGTAGCCATTGGCCGTGCTTCTTCAGGACCCAGATGACTTACTGTAGCTCAGGGCTTGGGGGAAACCGCTCTTTCAGAACCCAGGCCTGTTCTAGCACCTTGAGAACACCCAGGCCAGCAGAACTTAAGGAGGTGTTCACTTGCAGGGCCATTCTCCTTTCTTGCCTCACTCTAGTCAGGAGGTGCTCTTAGCAATCCCACAGAAGGCACCTTTGGTGGTAGCAGTGGGCAGAGAATGGAGGGGATTGGAGCAGGGCTGGTGTGTCCAGTGACTTGGCCATGTTATTTTGTCCAATAGCCTCATTTGAAAAGTCCCTAGAAGTGTCCCCAAAATACTGGAAGGGGACTTTGCAGGGGCAATAACAGAAACTCAGAATGATGAGTGTTCATGTGTGTGTTTTTCATTCCACAGGCCGGTAAACCTGCATGATATTTGGGTTATAGCACTTTTTTTCCTGCCTGTCCTCCCAACCAGAAGGTGAGTGGCTGTGGGCAGGAAACATTTTTGTCTTTGTATTTACAGAAATGGAACAGAGCAGGCATTGGAAAAATGTACATTGATCAAGTAAATATCAGCAAAATAATAAATTCTCATTCTCCCTGTTGCCTTTACCACTGACTTGCTCCTCCTTCAGTGTCCCCCATCTTAGGAACAGTACCTCCAACTCATTGCCTAGCTAGAAATCTGGGGCTCATCTTTCTTTCCATGGCCTCACAGCTCTATCCGCCATATACAATCTATGCCTAAATCCTATTATTGTTTACTTCACAAATATTGCGGCTCCCATCCATGTTTCTCTGTTCTACGACTTCACCTGAACTTTTGAACTTCTGTCACCTCTGAACTGATCCCCTACCTCTACTTCTAATCACTCGTTCTCTATTTTCCACCCAGAAGTCAGCATAATATTTTCAAAATGCAAATCTGATCATATCTGTCTGCCTGTCTGTTTCTCTTACACACACACACACACACACACACACACACACACACACACACTCCTTGTTGTTAGGTAAACCTTTTGAGTGACTTCCCTTTGCCCTTAGGATAAAGACCAGACCCCTTACCATGTCTGACTGAGCCCTGCCTGCATGGCTAGCTTCCCCCGGCTTTCCTGCCTCATCTCATGCCTCTCCGCTTAGTTCCTGTCTTGGCAACCCTGGCCTTTTTCAGTTCCTCAAACAAGGCAGACTCTTGCCTCCTCCAGACTGCACACTTTCTGGTTCCTTTGCCTAAAACTGCTCTCCTCTCCTCTCCCCAACCCAAGCCCTGCCTGCCCCAATTCCTCTTTTCCTTAGATACTATAATTCCTACACATCCTTCAGATACAGTACATGAAAATGTCTCTTCTTCAGGGAAGCCTTCCTAGATCCCCAGGGCAGGTCAGCTTCTTAGCTCTCGTTATGTGCTCTCTCATGGCTCCCTTCTAACACCTATCACATTTTAAATTCGCTTCTCTGTGTCATTATTTGAGACAACATGGTCACTAGAGTAGAGAAGGGAACCAGGGACTCACAGGCCATATTTGCCCTGTGTATATGTTTTAATTGGCCTGGCTAATTTTAAAAAATTGAAATAGTTGCCAGTACTTAAACAATGGGAGATTTCACATTTAAAAAAAAATCTGGATTTCTAGTTTTTCTTAAAAGATCAGATATTCTAGGAAGCCTGGGTTTGTATTCCTCCAAGTAATTAGCTTCAGCCTTTAGAAGGCACTGCCTCTATCTTCCAAGGCATTTCTGCTATCAGCCTGACTGTCTAGGCATTTGAATTTGTGACTCAGTCCTAGAGGGATCATTCTGGTGGTGGAATGGGAGAAGAGATTGGACTGGGTGGGAAAGCGCAATGGCAGCCAGAGGAACCCAGGGAGAGAAGGTCATAATCAAGTGGGAGACACCTAGACCCAAGAGATACTACATCTGGACTTAGTTAGGCTCAGGCTTGGAGTGGGGGAGGGGAATAAGCTTCAGTATCTAGGGCCCCACTTCTACCGTTAGGAGCTTTAGTTTGCCTGGCCAGCATGGCTCAGAGGTTGAACATTAACCTATGAACCAGGAGGTCACGGTTCGATTCCCGCTCAGGATTCCCGGTCAGGGCACATGCTCCGGGTTGCGGGCTCGATCCCCAGTGTGGGATGTGCAGGAGACAGCCGATCAATGATTCTCTCTCATAATTGATATTTAAATCTTTCTCTTCCCTCTCCCTTCCTCTCTGAAATCAATAAAAATAAAATAAAAAATATTTTTTTAAAAAAGAAGCTTTATTTGGATGGACACTCTAACCATTAAGCAACCTGGCCAGAGCTCAAATCAGTCCTTTTTTTTAAAAATCCTCACCTGAGGATATTTTTCCATTGATTTTTAGGGAGAGCGGAAGAGAGAGGAAAAGACAAAGGAAAACATTGATGTGAGCAAAACACATCAATTGGTTGCTTCCTGCACACGCCCTGACCAGGGCCCAGGCTGGGGAGGAGCCTGCAACTGAGTTAAGTGCCCTTGACCAGAATCAAACTTCAGTCTGAAGGCCGATGCTCTATCCACTGAGCCAAACCAGCTAGGACTCAAATTGGTCTTGATAATAATTGGTTGAGCTGTAGCTTTGAACCTGATGTTATCATACTCAGTACTGAAAAAGTGCTGATTGAACACCTCTGTTCTCCTCTAACTAGATGAAAAAGAATAGAGGAGAAAAAAAAGATCACTACTCTGAGTAACAGAAAAGACCAACATGGGAAACTGCCTGAGGCTACTGAGACCCCACCATCCGTGAGGCCACAGCCAGGGCTATAGTGTGGAAAACAGACTTGGGGCCTACTTTAGGCTGTTTGATGGACCCTGGACGAATCCCATTTATCAAAGGATGGGACCAGTCAGTTGATTCTATGTTCTATGAGGTTGTTACTTTTTTCAACTATAAAACAGATACTGTTATTCCTGTTTTATAGTTGAAAAAGAATAAAAGCACAGGGAGATTAAGTCACTTGCTCAAAGTTACCAGGGATTTGAACCCAGGTAGCACCTGACTTGATAAATTTTAAATTCTCTGCCATAGCATAACTGATTTAGACATATAAAGGCAAAGAAACAACCATAACCCCTTAAAATTATATAAATTGGTAAATTTTGGTCTCTAGTTCTATAAAATTAGGCATCATCACACTGAATTCAGTGATTAAAAAATGGAATCAATCAGTACAATGACTACAAAAACATTTAAAACCCATTAAAAACAGAATTTCTTTTTTTTAGGGTTTTTCTTTTTCTTTTTTTTTTATTTCTTAAAGTATTACAAAGAGTATTACACGTCTCC